TTCCTTCATCGGGATTTGAATTCTGCTTGATGTTGATATGGGCACTCTAGAAGCAAAGGAATGATGCGTTATGGAATGGTAATTTATTGCCACCGCATAAGATTGTGCTTAGAGTTGAGGGATGGTTGCATGAATTCCAAAAATGGCATAAGACTGCTACAAAAAAGATTAACAGTGTGGTGCAGAAGTGGAGTAAACCTGAGGTGGGCTGGGTTAAATGCAATTTTGATGGGGCGTGGAGTCAAAGTGGTTTACGGGGAGGGGGGTTTGGGGTAGTGTTGCGTAATCACTTGGGGGAGTTTATGGCCGCTTCTACAGGTCTCATTCCGATGACAACATTAATTTTCCACACTAAGTTGATTACAGCACGTCGTGCAGTGTTGTTGGCCAAGAGTCATTGTCTTGAAGGTTTGAAGATTATGTTTGAATGAGACTCTGTTATGGTGGTGAAGACCATGAAGGACCAAAAGGACGATTGCTCATTATTTGGCCCTATAAATAAATGATATGTGGTTCTTTCTCAGTGGTTTGATTCATTCGAAGTTTAGCCATGTTCAGCGGTGTTGAATATATCATTCCAGTTCAGCAATAGTTAGTTAGGTTGTTATCAAATTAGTTAGTTAAATAGCTTAGGCTGCAAGCTAGTCATGATGGCTATATAAATTGTATTCTCAGAGTTGTAAAAATCAATTCAGTATCAATGTAACCAATTATTGTCTCTCTCTCTTATTCCCTTTTCTCTATTCTTCTTCGATACATGCTCTTTCTGCAACTCTTCATTTCTGTTAACATGGTATCAAGAGCCAACCGATTCTTGGTTCTCATTTCCGCTGTGCAAACCTTCTCGATCAGTTGAAGCTTGATGATGGTTGCAAAATTCTCAGTGTTTTCTGCTCAAAGGGTCGAGGGTTTCGTTCATATATCAAGTTCTTTGTTTCTGTTTTCGCAGTGCACACCATCTGTTTGTGTTAATGTCTTAGTGAAGATTTTTTTGTGCATCTTGTAAGTATCAAGGCCGATAGCCGTATACTTACTTTTTCAAGGCCGATAGCCATTGTTAGATCAAGATTTATTGTGTTAATCCCCACCGCCCTCCGCCAACGGCACAGCCACAGCTGGGTTTCCCGGAACTTCCTGGTTTGAAGAAGCGAGTTTTCGTACAAGCTTGGATGTTCGAATGCGTTTTCTGGGTTTTCAAGATTCAAGTTCTCAGGTTTTGTTTTCGATTACTGGTTTTCTTTCCAGCATATCAACTGTTTGTGATAATGTCTCAGTGAGAATTTTCTTGGTAATTTCGGAAGTGTCAAGGCCGATAGACGTATACTTCAGATTTGTTAAGACTTCAAGGTCGACACTCTCTGTTGTGCCGGTTTCGATAATATCCAGAAAATATGGGCAGGAAGTTCTTCGTCGGCGGCAACTGGAAATGCAACAGAACCTTCGATGAGGTGAAGAAGATCGTGAACATACTCAATGAGGGACAAGTTCCATCGCAAGATGTTGTGGAGGTTGTGGTTAGCCCACTGTATGTGTTTCTTCCGGTGGTGAAGAGTTCATTGAAGCCCGAATTCCATGTCGCTGCACAGAACTGCTGGGTCAAGAAGGGTGGTGCCTTCACTGGTGAAGTTAGTGCTGAGATGCTAGTCAATCTCGAGGTTCCATGGGTCATTCTTGGTCATTCAGAAAGAAGACTGATTTTGGGTGAATCCAATGAGTTTGTTGCAGATAAGGTTGCATACGCACTTTCTCAAGGTTTGAAGGTGATAGCTTGTGTCAGTGAGACCATTGAGCAGCGAGAAGCTGGCACAACTGTGGAGGTTGTTGCTGCACAAACCAAGGCCAATTGCCATTTCTCAGTTGCTCTGAAATTGTTGATTGTATTTTCCTAAAGCCGATTGCCGGGATTTTATGTTGTCTAAAAGGTTGTCTGTTATTGGGTTTTCTGTGATATTGTATCTTGTGCTCCTTCAAGGCCGATTGTCGGAGTATAAAGCTTGTTTCCTCCACAAGGCCGATAGCCGGAGTGAAAAGTTCTGTCTCAAATATTGTGTGTTACTCCTTAAAGGTCGATAGCCGGAGTAACGTTCTTGAAAAGTTTTGTTTGTTGTTATTGTGTGCAACTCCATTAAGGCCGATTACCGGAGTGCAGTTCTTGTTCCCTTTCATTGAAGGTCGATTGCCAAAGAGGGTTGTGGTTCTTGATTTTTGTGATTGTACACCAAGAAGGATTTCATTATTCTGCATTTCTCAAGCACTCGTACAATCTCAAACTGGAAATCCCAGTTGAGATTGAGAGGGGATGTTGAATATATCATTCCAGCTCAGCAATAGTTAGTTAGGTTGTTATCAAATTAGTTAGTTAAATAGCTTAGGCTGCAAGCTAGTCATGATGGCTATATAAATTGTATTCTCAGAGTTGTAAAAATCAATTCAGTATCAATGTAACCAATTACTGTCTCTCTCTCTCTTATCCCCTTTTCTCTCTTCTTCTTCGGTACATGCTCTTTCTGCAACTCTTCATTTCTGTTAACAAGCGGGAAGGTAATTCGGCAGCACATTGTCTTGCTCGTATAGGTATTGGCAGCTCTCAGGAGTTTGTGTGGTTCGAGGAGCCCCTAGATTTAATTAAAGACATTCTAGTTTTATGAGGTTTTGATTAATTTTCCTTTCGATTGTTCATCTAAAAATAGGTTCTATTGTTGTGCGGGACACTCTTTTCCTTCGATTGGGTTGAAATTCCCAACAAGGTTTTATCGAAGCCCGATATGCACATTATCCTCCGATTGTACGTATTCTAAGTTGTTTAATGAATATCGTACCGTTTCTTCAAAAAAATATATCTAAACCATAATTTTACTCATTGACAGATAAAAACAAATTTGTGAGTTTTAAACTGATGTGACATGATTTAATTGATGGGAATTTGAGTTCTCATAAGAAGATTGATGTAACTATAATGTTTGCAATTATGGAGCCGTTGACAATGATGGTGTTATTGAAGATAATGACGTGGGCTACATTTTTTGCTCATCATGCTATTTAGGGTTAATCTCAGTTTACTACCCTGACGTTTCGTGGTTTTCAACATTTGGTACATGAAGTTTTTCATCCCACAGTCATACCTCAAGTCTTAATTTTGAGATAGTTTCGTACATCCGTTAAGTTTTCTGTTAGAACCTCCATTAACTGATAATGTGGCGCCTACATAGGCAATGACTTGGCGCCATGTGTCAATTTGGACCCTCTTAAATATTAAAAAAATAAAAAAAATAAAAAGTTAAAAAATCAATTTTTTTTCCTTCATCTTCCTTTCTTCCTCTGTCTCTCTCCCACTTCTGCGACGTCGTTTAGAAGCTCACCAGCTCTCCTGCCCACGACCTCTTCTCTAACCTACCGCCACTCATCCACCAGCCCAAGTCCCAGATCAGGTCTTGCCTCCAACGCATCTGCCCTCATTCCTTGCTCAGGTTAACAACCGCCCCCCTCCCTTGCTAGAATCCACTGCTCCACCCCCAAACTCCAGCAATCCAATCATCCCACCCATGAGGGCATCGCTCTTCACCAGGCTCAGATCCATCATACGCACCCTCTGCGATATTCATCATAAGAAGAAGAGTCAAAAGAGGAGCAGGCCAGCAGTGTCAGCAGCGCCGACTCCGTCTCCGACGCTCCAGATCTCTAGGTCCACGAGGTGCGTGCAAAGGAGAGAAAGGAAAGAAGGGAGGGAAGGGGTCGTGGGGGTGAGGAGCGACCTAGAAAAAAAATATATTGTTTTGGGGACTGATAGCTAGGGTAGGGGTTGGTACCATACAAAGGTTGAGGTGGGTACTTAGGTGGGTGCTGAGGATAGAAGGGAGGGGGAGGGAGCAGGGTAGATGGGTGGGTGTGTGGGAAGGTGGGTATGTGGAAGAGAAGGGAGGGAGAATGAGGGAATGGGTTGGGAAGGGGGGCCAGGATGCTCAAAAAAGTTAATTTTTTTAATATTTAAGTGGGTCCAAATTGACACGTGGTGCCAAGTCATTGTCCATGTAGGCGCCACATCATCAGTTAACGGAGGTTCTGACAGAAAACTTAACGGATGTATGAAACTGTCCCAAAATTAAGACTTGAGGTATGACTCTGGAATAAAAAAAACTTCATGTACCAAATGTTGAAAACCACGAAACTTCAGAGTAGTAAACTGAGATTAACCCTACTATTTATGATGATTAGATGAGTCTAAATTTTGAGATTTTATCTATCCACTACATAGATCTCGAAACTTAAATTCATTTAAAAATGATAAATATGATAGTGAGCACTATTAAAGATGGTAAGCAAAAATATTTTCTAATGACGTGTAATTTTGTATAATTTTCAATCCTAATTAGTAATTGACATGGCACCCACTTTTATTTTAATGCACTAGACCGCAGTTGTGGAGATTACGCATGTGGAGTCGTGGACTTCACCCATCATCACTTTAAGGAAATAGACCGGGATCAAAAAGCCCAAAAAAAACATATTTTCTGAAGTGTAATTTATCTGCATAAATTCAGGCTCCTCGAATGATCAGATATAACTACAAGATTAAAAAATTTGGCAGATGGCTCACACAAACAAATTATAATCCGGCCACCATCTATCTACGTACAAAATATATAAATATAAAGCTTTTAGAAACACTGGAAGGCTGGAACATCGAAAGGGCGCTTTGTCTTTTCCTTGTGAGGTTATGTTTAATTGGAACTAGCAGAATATCATATACGTACATAAAAATGTTGGATCCATGCGACTACACTGCATGTGAAGCCTCCAATCCTAATTGAATGTACAGGATAAAATTATATATTTCTAGGCTTCTAGCTAGCAACAAGAGAAATTCCTGGGATTATTAATGTTTTAATTTATATTTTCACCAATAAAATTTGGATTGCATCAACTTTACTTCCCTGTCTTAGTGTTTGGCTTGCTTCCATGAGTTTAGGGCATGATTTGGGGTTTCGATCTCAAGCCCTCCAAAGCTAGTGGCAATATTATTTTGTTTGTCAGGTTGATATATATATGTAGACTTAATCATTTAATCATAGTAAGTCATGTGAGCCCAAACTACAGGCAAACACCCAATGTTAATGTTGTGAACGTATTATAAATGCATATGCATAAGTTTCGGATAAATTTTTCATATTTAGGTCAAACAAATTATTGAGCAACATGCTTCAATACCTGGTGATGTTGAATCCTTTCTGGATGTTAATATCATATATATGTGTGTGTGTTATAGGAAAAATTAGTATCCGGTCCATAGTTACTAATATTCATTGACTGAAACTTTATTAGTTTTCAAATTTTGACTAAAGTCTCTAGCATTAATGTGATAATGAATTTACATGTTTATTACATATTTTTTACAATAAAAATTAGTAATTGATTTTGTGACATCCCACATCGTCCAGGGGAGTGATCCTTAAATGTATATTCTCATCCCTACCTAGCACGAGGCATTTTGGGAGCTCACTGGCTTCGGGTTCCATCGGAACTCCGAAATTAAGCGAGAAGGCCAGAGCACTCCCAGGATGGGTGACCCACTAGGAAGTTGCTCGTGAGTTCCCAAAAACAAAACCGTGAGGGAATGGTAAGCTCAAAGTGGATAATATCGTGTTACGGTGGTGGAACGGGCCTGGGATGTGGTGGACCCAGGCCGGGATGTGACAGATTTAGGCTTTTAATACTCACACCTCTATAAACTTCTACTTAATTTTCAATTCAAACATTTCAAAAAAAAATAAATAAATAAATTAGAATAAGTTTGTACCCATTAGTTTTTTTATAAAAAGATTCTCAATTTTTTAATCTTAAATGTACTCATTCATATAATTTTCAATTCTTTTAATCTTAAATGTACCCATTCTTAAATATACCAATTTGTTATATGTAAAATGTACTTTTTTTAATATAAAATGTACAAATTTTTTATATAAAATGTACCCAATTTTTTAATATAAAATCCATTCAAAATTTTTTAATCAATTTTTAAACTTATATGGGTGCATTCTTTTTCGTTGATTTGAGAATGCATCTATGTCAAGTTTAATGGAAGAAATTTGCTAATATTATTAAGCCTAATATCTTCTTTTTTTTCTTCTGCGTTTTGAAGAATGTACCCATGTTTTGGTACAATAATTTTTTTTTTTGTTAATTTTGATGAATGTACCCATATTTACACACACACACATATACACAGTATACTAGAGAGGATAATTTATATTTTCTTATTTTTTTAATCCCACAAATTATGGGTTATATTTAAAATCTCATTAATATAAACAAAAACAAATTTCTAATTTCTAATTTAAAAAATATGGTAACTTACACTATTACATTAATGTTAGGGACTTCGATAAAAAACTAAAAACAGACAAGATTTCAGTCAAAAAATATTGATAGCTAAGGACTGCATCCTAAGATATATATATGTATATGAGCTTTTTTTTTTAATTTTTTTATCAAAGTACGATATTCATTAAATAAGATCGAAATCGTACAAACTGAGGATAGTGTGCAATATGGGCCTCAATAAAAACCTTGTCGGGGATTTCAACCCGGTCGAAGGAAAAGAGCGTCCCGCACAAAAGAGAACTATCCTCAAATGAACACTTGAAAAGAATTACACACTCTCTTGTAGAAGTATATCTTGGATCAAATCTGGGGGTTCCTAAAACCACACTAACTCCTAAGCACTATTAAGTCCCATCTGAGCAAGTCGATGGGTTGTCGAGTTCCCTTCCCACTGAATATGACTAACCAATGACTCCACCCATTCCATATGAAGACTCCGGAGATCATTAATTATAGGACAGTGGTCGTCCCCACTCCTCCACATGGCAGCCAACCCCACCGCCGAGTCACC